CTTATCGGGCTTCACACACATATACTGTGTAGGAGACTGATGTCATCATCGCGTACGTGATTTCAGGTGCCAGTGGATAAATATTTTTGCTCCCTGGGATTGAGCAACAATGACGGGTTCCCCTCCTGCTGAGAAGAAGAGGGCCAAATTTTGCAATTTCCTTTCCCCAAGTGTCAAGTTGTCAAGGCGTTTCCTATTGAGGCTTCCTTCTTTGAAGTCCTTTCCTGATAATTGTTAAGTGAACTTCCGCTCTGCAGCAATAAGAATTAGTCGAGGGGAGTGGCTCAAATATGGCGAATTCAAATTGGGACACTAAATGTGTGTGCACTGTGCAGGTGTGTACTGAACTTCCACTCATCTCGGTCTCGGCCACATGAATCTTCTCTAGGCCTATGACTTTTGTACGATGCCATCATCGTTGAGAAGTATATGTAGAGACCACTGTACACTAGACACCTTTTGACACTCCTTGACGTGTTGTGTGTAGAAGAGATCTAGAGATAGAGTGGATTTAATAAAGTGTGAGTAGTGCGCACCTGCTATTCATGATCTATCCCTTTGCAGGCAATTACACATTCTGTCGCTCATAAGCCATTGGTGAAGTAATAGGATGGCCCCCTTTCGTCATGGCAGCTTCGTGCCATTTGGTGGATCCGCACGCCGACCAATGCCATTAATATTCGCCCTGGCTGCAGTCATTACGATTCAGTTTGTTGAACTGCAGTTCAGGTCTACTGCATCATTTGCCTCAGGAGCATCCTCCTCTTCATCACCTTTTGACTCCCTGTTCTCCTTCTCCTCCTTCCTTTCCTTATCCTCCTCCTCCTCCTCCTCCTCCTCATCATCATCAGCAGCAGCAGCAGCAACAGCAGCATCGCCATCATCAGCATCAGCATCGTCGCCATTGCTAGCATGTCGGACAGTTGTAGGTGGTCAAGAGTGTGAACTTTTCTATGCAGGCCTGGTCCATCCTCGTCTCCAAGAACAGGACAGACATGCCGAGAGTTTTGGTAGGGCCTTCCCTGGGTTGATGTACCTGAAAGAAGGCCTTGGCACGGGTTACTACAACCATAGATGGGTACATCGAGATCGAAAGAAGAAAAAACAGGAGAGCAGAGGAGGTATTACACAACTTGGCAAGATGAACCATACGTATGTAATGCAATCTTCTGCTAGTGCTGCTGCTGGTGTTGCTGGTGCTGGTGCTGCTGAAGAGGGTGGGAAGGCAGACGAGGCGTTGCCACTTGTTCTGCTGCTGACTATAAACCGCCCGTTCTGTGTTTCGAAAACCGGAATTGAAGTCTTTCAGAGTACTTTGCGAAATCGCTTGTCCTACGTTGCTCAGCATCCAAATATGGATATGGTGTACACGCTGGCGCAGAGGGAAGCACACATGGTTTTCATCAAGTGGGATCTCATCTCCTTTCCTCATCTGAAGCACTCTGAGCAAGAGAGTATGGGTAGCCAGCAGGGGGGGGGGAACTAGTAAGTAGCAGTGGACATCTGGCGCCGGTTGTAGGGTGAAGAGGTTCCTCCCTCCTTCCAGTATCTTGCTCAGTCAAATCCCCTGGATCCCAGGGCAATCAATGCTGGCAAGACCCTTCTGAACATCCTTTTTTCTGATGTATCTCAATTCCAATCTGTACAAGGGACGCTGGACCCAGGGCANCCCAGGGCAATCAATGCTGGCAAGACCCTTCTGAACATCCTTTTTTCTGATGTATCTCAATTCCAATCTGTACAAGGGACGCTGGACCCAGGGCAATCAATGCTGGCAAGACCCTTCTGAACATCCTTTTTTCTGATGTATCTCAATTCCAATCTGTACAAGGGACGCTGGACCCGAGTGCTAGGGGTCTGGTAAGAGCAGACACCTCTAGCAGTCCCGGGTGGGCTCCATCTATTCGTGGGGAGCAACACCTGCTGGAAAGCGGGTCCAGCGTCCCTGAACATTGTGGCTGCATGTTGTCTGATACATATAATTGTCATGGTAGACAGCTGCTGGGTGCTCCCTTGAGCACCTCTAAGCGCAGCAAATAGGAAAGCAGAACTTAATAATTGACTAGATTGCCCTAGCTGCTTGCCTATCTGCCGATCTACATTGCAGCTGGGTTGAGTTGTTGTAGACTTTAGATCACATGACTGTTGATTGGGGGAGTGAAAGCAGGCCTCCCCAATCCACTCAGCTGCTGGACCCGTTTTCCAGCAGGTGAAGCTCCCCACCAATAGACTGGAGCTTCTCCCCAGGTGCTAGTGGTGACTGCTCTTATCAGCACCACTAACACTGGCGGGGGTATGTTTTTGGAAAAAAAAAAAAGAAAAGAGAAATTTCAGAAATCTTAGCAGAGGAAATTCCAATGCTCCACATGAGCCCAAATTTGGTACACAACAATCTTGAACCAAAACAAAAGCAGGAAAAAAAAAAAAAAAAAAAAAAAAAAAAAAAAAAAAAAAAAAAAAAGACCCCCAAACCCTAATTTCAGATTTGGACCTGTTAGTCAGGAGCTGAAACTGGGGGTCCCCGTTAACCACATGTGAAAAGAAAGAACCTAAACGCTGATTGAACTATACCATGGAAACCATGTAACCTATGAATTGAGAATTCAAAAGAAAAAAGTCAATAGGAAGGATTGCAAATGACTTTGAATGTATCGTCAAACAGAGCTGCCCGGCAAACCGTAGGCAGACAGAGAGAAGAGGACAAGAAATGAGGGGCTGTGATCAACTGTTTTGTGGGAGTTTCACCGACTCATCAGGACGCTGAATCCTCAACAGTCTGCAGAATCCCCTAACTGATGACACTGTAAGGGGCTCACCACACAGGCTTTCGAAACGCCTTTCAAAACAACTTCTTTCGAAAAAGTTTTGAAAGGTGTCAGATTGGCCGGCGTCAAAAGTCATTTCGAAGAGATGAGATCCTCCTGCCTGTCACGAGCGTTTCCTCGAAAGACCTCGAGTGGTCTTGTGAAAAGGGCCACTTGAAACGGTTTATTGGCAAAAAAAAAAAGAAAAAAAAGGGGAGATCACAAGGGCATGGCTCCACTACTCTCAACATGCACAAAAGACAAAAATTATGGTGGTGTATCTTTCCATGTCCAGCCAAAGATTCACACTGGTTTTACACACGTTGAGAGCAGTGGAGCCAGGCCCTAATGTGCATATAGAAAGGCCTCGGTGTTTCGAAAGTCTGTGTGATGAGAACTTTTTCGAAAGGCTGTGTGGCGAGCCCCTTATACACCTTAACCCCGGCTGTGGCTATATATATATATATATATATATCGTCAAGACGATATGTATATATATATATCGTCAAGACGATATGTATATATATATATCGTCAAACAGAGCTGCCCGGTAAACCGTAGGCAGAGAGGGAGAAGAGGACAACAAACGAGGGGCTATATACTAAGAAACTCCCTCGGCGGCGGCCAAGCGCGGCCAAGTCCGCGGCCACGGCCAGGTCCGCTACCCCGTGAATGTGTCCGCGCGGCCGCATGGCGGCCAGTGGGGAGGGGGGTTGGGGATTTGGGAAGCGCCATGGGGCGGCACAACCCCAGCCCCACCCCCTCAAACAAAACAAAATGAAAAGAAACAAATTTTTGGGTGGGGAGTTTTGGCTGTGAGTGCAGATAATTGAGAGGGGGGGGGGGGGGG